TCGTCGAAACTCGTAGATACATGGTACAAAGTATGTGCGCACCTAACATGATAATATCAACAATAAGTACAAATATACAGGTGTTTGCTCTTTACAGTGTGTTGCACTCGAGGTTGTCAAACCCGAATGAATCGTTTGGAAAAAGGAAGACGTGAAACTCTGGTGGAGGTAAAACTAACTTTGAAAATTCGATCGGTTTCGACCCGATGCTCTTTCAAATTAATTTAATTAATTCTGGGTACTGATCCTTGGAAGATACCAGTGAACAACACAACGAAATACATATATATATATATACGTGACACTCTTCAGTCATGAATCAATAAACGGATCGTCCGTAATTGAACCCTGCGTCCCTAATTAACGAGCTGTTGCAAAAAGAACAGTTGCCAATTTGCGAAATATTAAAAACAACAGGATTCATTCCCTTCGAATGAAAACACCCGGCATGTCTGTCGCTTGAAATTGGAAATCGTTAAATCTTACTGGGGGATCGAAATTCCCAATTCGAAACTCGCACGCACGACACCGAGACTGTGGGCGGAAGTGGGAGTAAAAAGTATCGAAAAAGATTCTCTTCGAAAAACCCCATACATATTCTCTCTTCAATTATTCCGTCCGGGAACGCGAGATGTTCGTCGATGAAGCAGATTTCTATGCACTTGAAGATTTTTTTTTTTTTTTATAAACGTGACTGGCTCGCTTTGTCCTCTAAATACTCTACTTTCGACAGCTAAGTTTTAGATGTAACGATCTACTTCGATATTCAGTATCTAGACGTATAAATTGTGGAGGGATTTAAATAAGAGCTCTCTCTCTCTCTCTCTCTCTCTCTCTCTCTCTCTCTCTCTCTCTCTCTACTCTCTCTCTCTCTCTCTCTCTCTCTCTCTCTCTCTCTCTCTCTCTCTCTCTGACCGATATAATAATAACAATAGATTTCAGATTTTAATTTCGGTCCTTCTAAAGTAAGACAATGTTGAAGATATAAAAATCATTAGTTCACACGTTCTTTCTGCGTACCTTCGAGTCTTCCACAGATGCATAAAAATCCACCGTTTGTACTCTAGCAGCTGTTTCTTGAGTTGAGATCTCAAAATCCTTTTAGAATTTCTTTCTCGGTGAGCCAACATTCCCTTAGAGCAATTTGGACACGCGTATAATGATGCGAGTATCGGTTGGAAAGAAAGTGGGAACATCTCGCGTCACGACACTCGAAGAATGACGTTGACGATCAGAAAATCAAGGCTTTCTGACAGCCAAGGTCAGACAAACGTCCATCGTCGGAACCGAGTGTATCGAGCTAAAATCTGGCGAATGAAACACGCTCTTGACACAGTCTAAACAAGCAACAATTTTTAATATCCACGCGAGATAATCTCATACGTCTCGATCATTGCATCAATTCAATGTGCTTATCTATACGAGAGCGATAGACTGTGAATTTTTACAGATTTGTGGAAAATTTGGAATATTTAACAAGAGGATACCTCTGTCTTTCTTCATTTCTTTTTTTACTATTTCGTCGAAAACATAAAAATTCGCAGTCCAGTGATTAAAAGTTGAGTGTCGTTAAATCTATACATCGACTGATTTAATTCAGCTCGTCTCTACACACTTCGTGGCTAAATAACAGTTACTTAGCCATGCTCGTTCGTGTTCAAAATTTTGGAAAAATTGATGACAGGCTCGTTTGTCCAATTGTTTCGTATCAAAAGAGAGGTGCACTTTCGATGAGCATGGCTAATCGTCGAACTCGTGTATTTGACACTGCCGCCACTGGAGATAATCTCGAAGCGATCTGAAACACACGTGTGCGATTAATTGAAATATATCAAAGAATAAAAAAAATAAAAAAAAATAAAAATAAAAGGTTACAAGCTAGCGTGTTGGAGATTAGAGTTTAGAAATGTGGCTACACCTTGAAATTTGAGAAAAGTTTAGAATCAAAGACTAGAGTTTAAAATCATAGCTAGAGCCTAACTGTGAAATTATAGTCAGAGTTGAGACTTAGAGTTTTTCAAAAATTTTTATATTGGGCTCACTGTTGGGTGCTCTCACCAAATTCAATGGTACAAAAAATCTTAGCTCTAAATATAATATTCCTATTGACAAAATTAGGGCATATTATTAGATTTAAAAATAATAACTTTTAATTAACAAAGCATCACGTAATAGTGCTTATTTGTAAAGATGTTATTGCATGGATTATGTTTAGCTTTTTGATGTTGAAAATTTGTATTCCCCATAGAAATATGTAAAAATTATGTAACATTATGCCGGGCATATGTTCCAGAACTGACCACTGCAGTTACACCACAATTATATTAATTGTGTCCAAAAAAAAAAAAAAAACAATGGTGAACCAATTTTTCAATATCAAATGTAGAATAATGTTTTGCACGAACGTATAGATTAATATTACGGAGAAATATATTTGTCTGATATGACAGAGTTAAACTTGAAATTCTCAGGCTTAAAGCTCAGAGTTTCACAACTCTGAAATTTAGAACTTAAAGCTGGAGTTTTTATCTCTTTGTTCTTACGTCTTCGCAGCCTGCATGAATAATGAAGGACCACACGTGAAAACACACGCGTCGGGATTACTTCTTCCAACTAATTCTTCTAATAATTCAACAGACACCATGCCACGTCTGCCTGTCCACGTGTCTTTGGGTTGTGAAAGAATATGCGTGACTTTGAATCTGAAACACAATTGTGAAATATCTCACATAATTACATGATATCTCACAACATTTTCAGAGAGACAATTGAATGGTACTCACTTCTCTCCGGCAACTTTCTCCAATTCCTGCACGTAGAACATATTTTCTTCGTCTGTGTTGAAGTTGAGTAAATTTATAGTCTTCCTGCGGGATTACATAAATCATTAGATCAAAAGTTGACCTGGAAACTTCCTCCACGCGAGATGTAAAATTAAAAGACGTGAATTCGCGTGATTCGTCAAGTAGTAACAAGAACTAACGTCAATGTTTCAATCAAGAATTTAAAACGTGTAACAGATCTCTAAAGTATATATTACAATAATTCAAGACTCCGTGGGTCCATGCCAAATAAAAAGTTCAAATTTTTAACTCGAATTGCAATGTACAACAACAAAATCCAGGGAAATCGATGGACAAACGATCAAATTCCAATATGTTCTCCAGATGTATTAAAGCGATCGATACTTTAGAAAATGAGGTGAGAATACTGACACGGTGCGTCTGACCAAAGCTCGTTGAATGATACCAAGCATCACTGTTAGACCCGTGCCAGCAGCAAGCATGTGAATGACAGGGTAACAATCAAAGTTTTCCAGTACGAAGGCACCTGCAACACCGCTCAACAGTAGGATTTCGCCAATCTGAAGAGATGTTATGGACGGACTGAGAGTGCCATTTGGATACTTCTTGACCATGAGACACAGGCAAGTGGTTGTGTAGTTTTTCGGCATGTCGTCAGGGTGAAGGCACGGTGGGACAGGGGTGTACGATCGCGATATGCCTCTCCCTAAAAGATATGCTAAACTTATTTTACATTGATGGTTTGTTGTCTCAATAAATTGAATAGAATTAGACTGTATTGTTGGTCTGGTAAATTTAATATAAATATTTAAAAAATTGATTCCTCTAGAGTCCATTATCCAGCGAATATTATTAGTGTAATAGTGTAACAAGACTTGCACGTTAATCAAATTAATTTATCGCGTTAAAAGTAGCATTGATGCTCGGATTCAAGCCGTTGTT